TTCTTCTTCTCCTCCTCCTCATCCACCTCCTCCTCCTGCTCCTTCTGCCTCTTATTCATATCCTTCTGCATCACCACCTTTTCCCTTCCCTTTCTTTAATACGCTTACTGCACATCAATGCCTCCGGTGTGCCATTGACATTTATTCCCAGAACCACGCTTTGCTTGTGTACCATGAGCTCCCTGCACCTGGATCGTTAGATGCCTGTCAAACAGGACCCCAAACACCTCAGCACATTCTGCAGACCTGCCCACTCTACCTGCAACTTCGAAAAGACACCTGGCCTCTAGAGCAAAGTTTGCAGAGCAAGCTATGGGGAACCATGCAGGACCTGCAGCTGACATGCGAGTTCATAGAGGCAACCCACTTGATGAGCATACGAAACCGAACGCAAAGAAGAAAGAAGAAGAAGAAGAATCATTAGATTTACCAGTGCATTGATAGAAATCTGGAACAAAAACGATTTCCAAAGAGCAAAGACACAGTCAAGCTCGAAGTCGAGCTGCAGCGGGACGCCGAGCAGATGAAGTTCGATCGGTTTATCTCCTTTAGGCATTAGAAGTTTGCCGTACTATCCTGAAATATTTTGAAAAATCTCAATATGGATAGCAGACCAGAAAAGCAGATCTCGGATAGCTGGTTCAACCTGCACATGTGTTATAATTTGGGCACTAGTAACGGTTACACCAGCTGGGAGTCACATTTAGTCGCATGCGGGGAAGATTGAACATTTCAACTAACTTCCAGAAGGACTTTGATACTTTCCTATTAGCCGATCACAAACAGGGAAAATCCACAGGTCAGGAGATGGTCAATTATTTCAGTTTAAGGGTTGGGTTAGGTAAACGCCGGAAAATCTTGGCCCTGGAAGAAACGCGCTAAAACACAGGAACCACGGACAACCCCCTCTTACCAACCTCTAAAATATTGGACTGTCCCGTGATGTCATTTGTGGTCGATTACCAAGAAAGCACCGGACTTTGATATAAAGTAAAGTAAAAAAAACCTTGTACTCTACTCTTTATGCGTACAGGGCTAGACCTATATTTCATAGAACAATCAGCACTTGGTGAGTGATATGGTCAACATCACGCCGGCCGCCTTTACTTCTCAGGACTGCACCTGCTACCCTCTCAAGGTCATGAAGAACTTTAATACTGTCAAGAATCTGGTGTGTCTGCTGCTTCTTCTTCTTTGCATTCATCGGCTGTAGAACTCTGACGGAAAGTTCTGGGTGTTTGTCCACCTGCGGACTTTAGCCTTGTTCCAGAAACTGAGTGTTGCGTGCACATCCATTTCACACATTTGGCTTATTTGTATGCAGACTGTTGGTTCCTTGCCTCTCAGGCAGATGTACTCCAACTTGAAAGCATGCCCCAATTAGTTGACTGCGACCACATGCTCGTTGGGAGGGTGGTTGTTCTATCCTTGTATTCCCCCCCCCCCCCCACACACACACAACATGAGTCCGGAACCCACACACGGACCTAGTGTCAATGATTTTTAGCTAATATGGCTTAGGAGCAGCGCTCTATGTACCCCCCCCCCCCCCTTTCCCACTCCCCCTCCACACTTTCCCCGCTCCTACCTCTCTGCTACGCCACTAGCCAATAGTTTCGTATCTGCTATTGTCTGCTCCCCTTCCCCAACCCCCACCAAGCATGTCGTAAGGGACGACTAATACTAAGTTTGCTGAAATCGGATGTTTAGGGAAGAAATCGCAGCATTGCTATAAAAAAAATGTGCTTAACGCTCTTTTGAGGGCGACGAAACAGAAGATGTTATCTGGAGACTACTGCCAAAACAAAACTGCCAATTACTGCCTTTGTTGTACCACTTTTGTCTTGTGGGCAGGGGGGTCTGAGCCTAAGGATTTACGGCCGCATGGCTAGTGCTGTCGCCACGACTGTGCAGGTGAGGATTTTATTTTGCCCCCGACGAAAAAAAAAATCCCCAGCCTTACCGTGGATTCGAACCCCTCTCTCCTGCTTGAGCGCCCAGCATTCGGTGTTTTCTTAATATCATACCCCAAACAGGGAAAATCCACTGTTTACGGGACAGTCTAATATTGCAGGGGGTGGTAGATAGACTGCATGCAGTCGTAGGCCCTAGGCTACATGTAGTCGTGGGACCTAGGCTGCACTCTCTCGTGGTACGTAGATGGGTTGGGGTTAGGGCCAGTTCTGGATGTTTGGATGTCGTTAAAAACATCAGAAAGCTGGGAAACCCAGTCTTATCACCCTCGAAAAGTGTTGGACTGTCCTGTGACGTCATCCAGGGGTAGGATATTCTAACCGTTCTAACTGTTTGACCAGCCACTCCTTCCTCTGGAGTCTGCCTCCCGTCCTATTATTGCTTATGAAGCTCTAAAGTTTGTATTATCGTTGTTTCCCCACAGGGAAGGCCCTCCTGTTGTTGACCAGAACTGATTTCATCGAAAGAGCACCTCATGCTGGAGACATCCTTTACAATGTTTTCCAGCGCTTGCTTCAGCAGGAAGGTAAGTGTCTATGTTATGTTATGTTATGTTATGTTATACAGTGTTATGTTATATTATGCAGTGTTATGTTTTCACAAATGACAGTATCAGGCACAGAGTATTCACATTTATGATGATTCTTAAGATGCAGCAGCCACTCCAAAGTGCGTCTATTGATTGTTTTCCAAAAGACGTTGGTACGAGTACGTGTTATTTTATGTTATCACAATCAGTGACATCGCGCACTGGACATTCCTATACATGCTCAGTCCTCAGATACAGCAGTGCCTCTAAAGTACCTCTAATGAGTGTTCCTACAAGACTTTGGCTAGAAGTGAATATGTGCGTGTTGAGAGAGTGGAAATGTGAGTAGATGAATGAGTTGAGATCAGGGCCGAATTAACCATTAGGCACGTACTTAGGGCATCACAAATGTAGGGGGACACCATATAAATGTTCAATAGCCCTAAAGCTAAATTTTAATTTTCTCGGTTAAAGCACATTAAAAAAAACAAAAACATTCCGTCATAGCAATGCAGCAAGGCTGGCTGGATGCCTTAGCTCTAGGAAGTAGGGCGGCTGATTAGTCTCGAGGTATTTTGTCCGTCTCGAGTGCTAGACTGGTAGTCTGGTAGTCTTAGTTTCAGCTTCATAGCAAACTGGTCACCCTATAGTTGCTCCGCTCCTGTACCAACGAAAAACACACAGAATGTTTATCACAGTCTATTGTGGAAAGATTGACAGACTGCTGTCTCAGCATATCTAGCATACACACACATTAAAAGCATACGGTAGCCATCTGAAGTGCTGACACAAACAGTCCGATATTAGAAATGCAGTTCATCATTGATAGTAGCAGCAGTCACCAACAGATTAGCAGTTGCACTTGCCATTAATTTTAATCACATAAGGGCACCACAAACATTGTGACAACAGGCATCGCGCCATTTTCTGAATCTACAATTCACACTACCACGTTGGTCACAGTCGAAAATACATTCCAAAGGAAATCAGCAGCTCATAGTGTTACACCATGCACTGAACTCAAGAGCTTGGCGACGAAACTATATCCTTTCAGTCTACAAATGGAGCAAACATGCAACGGCCACCGTCTGGCAGATGCAAAGAAGCTCCAAACAGTGCCCGTGCCTAGCGTCCATTCTGACCCGAAGTCACTCGAGTGCTAGAGGTCCCCTGTTCAAGCCCTGGTGAAGGCAGTGATTTTTTTCTGTTCGCATGGACTTCTAGTAATTTCTCCTGGTCTCTGGGTAGTGAGATCGGATGCCCATGTGTATTGTTGCGCATTTAAATAAATCCGTTGGCAGTTGGAAATCGAAAAAAGTAGCCTACAGCGTTGCCCGGGTAAAAATTTGTAGCTAAAAATTAACCCAATATATTTCAGGATCCTCGCCGGTGCTATAGAGTTTGTGCATTGCGCTGAGCTATTTCGGACTTAGACTTGAGTTAGAAGTAGAATGGAGCACTTATGGGTTACTGTCCGCGTGCTATGATGTTGATCCGTTTTTCAAAATTCGAACTTCACACTTTTGTATGAAGTATAGAAGCACATGTCTTACATAACATTAGTCGGATGATACATTTTGCAATTAAACACAAAAAGTGTGAGAAAGGTTGTCATATTGCGTTAGAAAGTTAGAGTATATGTGTATGGAAATATGTGTATGGATATATGTGTATGGATATATGTGTATGGATATGTGTGGATGTGTGTTGCGTTAGAAAGTTAGAAGATATGTGTATGGATATGTGTGGATGTGTGTTGCGTTAGAAAGTTAGAAGATATGTGTATGGATATGTGTGTATGGATATGTGTGGATGTGTGTTGCGTTAAAAAGATGGAATATCTGTGTATGGATATGTGTGTATGGATATGTGTGTATAAATATGTGTGGATGTATGTGTTCTTTATTCGTCTAGATCAGTGGTTCTCAACCTTCCTAAAGCCGCGACCCTTGAATACAGTTCCCTCATGTTGTAGCGACCCTTGAATACAGTTCCCTCATGTTGTAGCGACCCTTGAATACAGTTCCCTCATGTTGTGGCGACCCTTGACTACAGTTCCCTCATGTTGTGGCGACCCTTGAATACAGTTTCCTCATGTTGTAGCGACCCTTGAATACAGTTCCCTCATGTTGTAGCGACCCTTGAATACAGTTCCCTCATGTTGAGGCGACCCTTGAATACAGTTCCCTCATGTTGTAGCGACCCTTGAATACAGTTCCCTCATGTTGTAGCGACCCTTGAATATAGTTCCCTCATGTTGTAGCGACCCTTGAATACAGTTCCCTCATCTTGTAGCGACCCTTGAATACAGTTCCCTCATGTTGTAGCGACCCTTGAATACAGTTCCCTCATGTTGTAGCGACCCTTGAATACAGTTCTCTCATGTTGTGGCGACCCTTGAATACAGTTCCCTCGTGTTTTGGCGACCCTTGAATACAGTTCCCTCATGTTGTGGCGACCCTTGAATACAGTTCCCTCATGTTGTAGCGACCCTTGAACACAGTTCCCTCATGTTGTGGCGACCCTTGAATACAGTTCCCTCCTTTTGTAGCGACCCTTGATTACAGTTCCCTCCTGTTGTAGTGACCCCCGAACAATTATTTTTCTTCAAAACTCCAATGAATATGTGTTTTTCGATGGTCTTAGACCACTCCTGTTAAGGGTCATTCGACCAAACAAACAAAAAAGGGTCGTGACCGGCTGGTTGAGAACCTCTGTTCCAGGTGAACATGGATGAGTGTGTGTGATTGTGCCTGGGTGAGTGTTGGTATTTCTGTATACGGATTTAGTTCACGTTTATTTGTGTGTGTGTGTGCGCGCGCGTTCGTGCGTGTGTGTGAGTTTGATGTTCTAGAAAGGTGCTAATGTTGTTAATAGTCCATTCACCAGGCTTTCTAACGTCGTCCGTCTTTCCAGCACACATGACCCCCACAGTTTGAAAACCACTGAACGTCCTTTTTCCGTGCAATGGTAGTTTCTATTTTCTCAAACGGGTCTATCCGGCAAAACACGCATTAGCATTTGTTTTAAGTTATGTGAACTTCCGTGTCAGTGACCCAACCGACCGCATTCCAAGGAAAACTTGTGTCTTGTTTTGTTACTCGGGTCTCTGTGGCGAAAAGGTTGAGACGTTTGTCTTGCGGTCTGCAGATTTGGTTTAAAGGGGATCCTTTTCTGTCTGTGCCCCATGTGGCATATGAGGCTTAAATTATATATATTTTTTAATATTAACTGAGAATGCAGCTACTAATCTGTTGTAACTTTCTCACCTTAATCGACGATTAACTGCGTGTCTTGTGCCAAACTGTTTGTGTTGACACTTCTAATGGCTGTCTTATGCATTTAATGCGTCATGTATGCTATTGGCTTCCCTGAGGCTGCAGTCTGTGTTAGCATTTTCACAAGGGACGATGAGGGAGGCTGCGTGGTCTCGAGACTGGGACTTGGACCTAGTAATTCCCCCTGGTCTCTGGGTGGTGAGATCAGACGCTGAGTGCATTTTTACGCACGTTAAAAAAAAATCCCTTGACAGTTGGAAATCAAAAACAGTAGCCTACCAGCGCTGCCCGGACAAAATTTTGAGTTAAAATTCTACCCACAGTATATCAGTATCCTCGCCGGTGCTACAGGGCCTGTGCACTGCCTTGAGATTCTTCGGGCTCAGATTCGAGCTAGAAGAAGAACGGACCCTTTTTAGGTCACTACTCGTGTGCTATGATGTTGATCCGTTGTTCAAAACCTCAAACCACAAGAGACGGTGAAGAATATTCTGTGTGGTTTTGGTTGGCTCATGAGCAGAGCAACTTTGGAGGCACCCGTTCGCTATGAAATTGGAACTGCGATTATCTGATATTTATATAGACCAATCGGTAATTGGAGGTTGATGTGGGCAACATTACGCCTTTCCCCTTAACTTCCAAGAAATTACCTAGTACCCATTTGAGGCTGGGTCGACGGGGAGGCCAAGTCTGATTAGCGACTACGCTACGGCGGCTCAAGATATCAACAGAGAAACTACTATATACCAACCCTGATTCACAGTCTTTTGTAATGCTGACAGATGCACAATCCGTACTTGCAGCACCGCAGTGTGGGAAACTACTGGAATTACGAACACTTTTGACGCAACTTAGCTTTCAGCGTAGAATCACAGTACAGTGGATGCACTTCGATTGAGGAGGGTCTGGAAATAAGAGAGTTGATAAACAAGCTGAGAAAGGCGCGACAAAAGAGCAGCCGAATGTACCAGCTACATACCAGTCCAAAAGAAGGGATCATTAAATCAATTAGGAAACCGCCAGCTCCAGCACATGTTAGCTGAGTTAGTTGCGTATCCTCTAAAGGACATTGCAGAACCAACCTCAGCATTGAATGAAACGAAAGTAAAATTTATACGAGAGACAAATAGCTGATATATACATGTTATATCAGACGAAAGAAGAGGAGGAAGAAGAATCTACGGAGTTTGCATAGCTCCATTTAGAACTTCGATTTGTTAGTGCCATCTAAACGCATAGGCCCTCTAAGCACTTTCTCGTGGGCCCATGAGCACAGAGGCCCACACGCTAATCTATGTATGTTAAGTGACTTGCCACATATCTTCTTTTCTTTCTTCTTTACGTTTTTCCCCGGCTGTGAATTCCGGAAAAAAGTCCTGGTTGTTCGTCCATTTGGATCGTGTGCCCATGACTACAGAGGCCTCCACGCTAATATATGTATGGTGACTTGCCACATATCTTTTTCTTTTCTTTCTTTTTTTGCGTTCACCGGCTGTGAATTCCAGAGGAAAGTCCTGGTTGTTCGTCCGTTTGGACTTTGGCTTTGTACTAGAACTTGAGTTTTGCGTGTACTTCCGTTTTAATGGCTTATTTGTATGCGATCTTTATCCCCTGCCTCTCTGGCAGATGTACTCCGACTTCAAAGGAAGACGACAATCCGACCTTTAAGATGACTGCAGCCATACTTGCCACATATCACAAGCTCCTGGTAATTTCAGT